CGGATATTTTAAGCTCGGTTTTGGATTAATCGGTTTGGGCTTATAAGTTGAGGGTTTTTTTTTTTACAAAAATGAATATCCAAATGAAGTACTTATCTTAAATTGTCTGAAAGTTTTCTCATTATCACTGCAATCATCCAAATATAGCATTCAAGTAATGAAATTATTATCAAGAAAATGCAACAGAGACATTAATACAGCCGATAAGAAGTAGTAATAGTAAAACCATGTCCAAATGAAACTATTCTGACATTAACTTAGTAACTAATATTGAATATATGAGATAATATCTAATGGGTAGGGGAATGAACTTATTATTATTGGCATATCATCCAATAATAATGGACTAAATATAAATTATAAAAAATTCGGATTTCAGATATCCAAAAATCCGAAGTACAAACTCCAATATCCAACCCCAAATCCAAAAATTGTAAAAATTAAATCCAAAATTCAATCCGTAATCCGAAAATCCAAATTTAAAATCCAAAAAATTCGGATTTCAATTTGGATTTCGGGTTTGCCCAAACTATGCTCACCCCTAGGTGGATATAATGGATCAACACTTCTACTGTCAGACTTTCAGTTCTCGTTAATGGAAGCCCCGGAGGCTACTTTAAGTCTCAAAGAGGCCTAAGACAAGGAAACCCTCTCTCTCTCCTCATCTTTTTGTGATTGTCATGGAAGCCCTAAGCTCAATGCTTACAAGAGAGCTGAAGAATTGCTTCTTTCAGCCGCAAAAAAGAGGAAAAAACAGAGTCTTTGTCTAAGAAATGCGTTGAAAAAAGGACAAATGTATAAAACCTTTCAACGAGATCTAGGTCAGCAAATTGATTCATACGAATGGAACCTTCTAAAGCACAAAGCTGCATGTGCTTTGCAGACAAGGGAAAAGAATTTATAGTTCTTCAGCTCTGTGAAGAAACTTACCATATTTATTTACGAGCAAACAACCCATGCAGGGAACCAGCTGTACCACGTCGTCTTCCCTATGATACAATAATAGAAGCACTGGCTTGAGAGATAAAGTTGCTGCAATATTAGCTACAATAATACAAGTATGATTACAGACCTTTTCACTGTTAAATAGGTCCTCGGCAATAGCTTCCATTTGTTTTCTCTTTTTCTCTTCTTTAATCGATTCAGCAACA